AAAACACAACACGTAGTTACACGTAGCTTGAAAAACGTCCAGACCTATGATGGATCACGCCGATATCATGAGGCTCTTTTGAAATGGAGGTTCGGATCGTGTTTTGAACATTATAGACAGTCGCTGCTGCATCGCTTCATAACAGGTTAAAAGAGTGGAGACGTCTCGGTCTTAGCAGTGTAACCTTGTTTGCATATGTGTGCTCGTCCGGGCATTACTCAGGAACTCCCGCCCGACTAGGTGCCCAGACCCTTCCCTCCTAGCCATTCTGACCTGGCAAGTCCAGCATCTGTGTCCCGGAGTTGTCTCTTGTCAAGTTGCAGGTGGCGGTGCCGTTGAATGTGCTCGCAGACAGGGGCTGTCAATTGGCCCGTGAGTTGGGCGAGCCGATCTTCTCCTACGATTTCGGCTTGCGACGCCGAAAGCCTGCCACACTCGACGCCTTCACGCCGACCCGACCCTCGGCGGGCTTAGAGAGGTTAGATGCTGATGTCCCTCGAAGTTCACGAGAAATACATGTTTGGCTGGTCCTGCATCGGTTCAGCTGTGTTGTGGTCGGATACGTGTGCATGAACACAACTGTTTGTCTTGCATTTTTTCAGCACAGGTTTTCCTGCGCGACTGACAGTCGTTGTGGGGCGAGAAGATGGACACATGTACTACTGTGCAGTGTCCATCACGCGCTCGCCAATGGCAGCGTGGCTTTTGCGGTCCGTTTCTTTCCTTGAAGAAGCGTATTCACGGCTGCTAACGCCGTCCAAAGCTCTTGGGGGGCCTAAAGGAGGTGAAACCTGGAGCTCTCGGGGGGCGTAAAGGAGGTGATCTCGGGAGGCCTAAAGGAGGTGAAACCTGCAGCTCTTGGCGGGGCCCAAAGGAGGTGAAACCTGGAGCTTTTGGGGGGCCTAAAGGAGGTGAAGCCTGGAGCTCTCGGGAGCCTAAAGGAGGTGAAGCCTGGAGCTCTCGGGAGGCCTAAAGGAGGTGAAACCTGGAGCTTTTGGGGGGCCTCAAAGGAGGTGAAACCTGGAGGGTGAAGCCTGGAGCTTTCGGGGGGCCTAAAGGAAAGCCTGGAGCTCTGGGGGCCTGATGGAGGTGAAACCTGGAGCTGTCGGGTGCTTAAAAAGGACTGAAGCTCTTGGGGGGGCCTAAAGGTAAAGGAGGTGAAACCTGCAGCTCTTGGCGGGGCCTAAAGGAGGTGAAACCTGGAGCTCTCGGGGGGCCTAAAGGAGGTGAAACCTGGAGCTCAAACCTGGAGGTCTCGCAGGGCCCAAAGGAGGTGAAACCTGCAGCTCTCGAAACCTGGAGCTCTCAGGAGGGCTAAAGGAGGTGAAACCTGGGCTTAAAGGAGGCTTGGGGGGCCTAAAGGAGCCTGGAGCTCTCGGGGGGCGTAAAGGAGGTGATCTCGGGAGGCCTAAAGGAGGTGAAACCTGCAGCAGCTCTTGGCGGCTCGCGGGGTTGAGGAGGTGAAACCTGGAGCTGTCGGGGGGCCTAAGGAGGTGAAAGCTGGAGCGCTCCGGGGGCCAAAGGAGGTGAAGCCTGGAGCTCTTGGGGGGCCTAAAGGAGGTGAAACCTGGAGCTCTCGAAACGCCTTAAAGGAGGTGAAACCTGAAGCTCTCGGGGGGCCTAAAGGAGGTGAAACCTGGAGCTCTCGGATGGCCTAAACGAGGTGAAGCCTGGAGCTCTCGGGGGGCCTAAAGGAGGTGAAGCCTGGAGCTCTCGGAAGGGCCAAAAGGAGGTGAAACCTGGAGCTTTGGGGGGCCTCAAAGGAGGTGAAACCTGGAGGCCTAAAGGAGGTGAAGCCTGGAGCTTTCGGGGGGCCTGAGGGAGGTGAAGCCTATCGATGATGCATATCAACTCCAAATGGGCGATCTGTGTGAGACTTCTTCGGGCGCCGTCGCGCAAGCCGCGAAAGCCGCCCATTCGCGCCTTGCTTCCCCGAGCGCTCAGCAGCCGTCCGCAGCAGTGACTGTGTCTCAGTGCCTCCACGAAGGAGCCTATGATGTGAATCCTTGCCGTCCCTGCCAACGCATTCCACCAATGCGCGGTGGCATGCATTTCTCTGCGCCAGGATCACCGGACACTGTGAACCTCCGCAATCGTCTTGCTCAGTTGGGCGGGGCCATTGACAAGTGTGAGTCACCCCAGAGATGGTTGTTTGTTGTACACCAGATTGTCGGCACCAAGGCAGACTCCTTGCTATTTGTCGTATGGAAGGTCTGTGGTGGGACATCGTCCATAGTTAAAGTCAAGGCGCGCAGCAAATAATTGGAGTGAAGGTTAGCTTGGCTGTCGCCTAGTAAAGCTTTGACAGGAAGAGGAGGATCTCTGTGGAATCCATTTCATCAGACTCCTCCGCAAGGAGCGTCCTCCGTTGCAAAGGTCTTGGCTACAAAACCTTTTCTGTGTCGGAGGTGTGTGAGATGCCCTTGGGAAAGGCGACTCTCTCAAAGAGGGGCTGGGGGCGCCTGCGCCTCAGTGACAGTGCCCCCGTCATAGCACAGCTAAGGACCCGCAGACGATAAGAATGCAACCGACCTTGCGTTTGGAGAAACTACGCACGCGTTGAAAATTCGCCCGAACTGGCTGAAGAAGATACTCACAAGTGCCAGCAACTGAACATCTACATCATGGCATTCACATGCTGCCACAGACCCACCGCCACCTGTTGCAGGCACCAAGAAATTTGAGCTTTGCAAGAAGCCACGTCCGCAATTCCTCGTGAAGCGGCGAATCAGCTTGATGGAGACCGGTGCCAGAATGATCCGGGGCACAGCCATGATCTCAAAATCACGGCTCTTGCTCCCGGCGAGACAAAGCAGTTTGCCCATGCTCTGCAGGCGACGTCTACATCCACCCTATGTGCACTCCGCACGAGGCACGAAAAAGTCACGCGAAGCAGAAAACAGCACCGAACTTGAGCAAGCAATCCTGCGATTGTCTGAGAGGTGCCTTCCTGCGCAGCACAGGGGTCAGTGGTATGGCTACTCCTCTATGAGCTCCAAGTTAAGAACGATCTTCCTTTCAAAAACGTGTTCGAAGTTGCCTTCGAAGTCCAACAAATCCTTGGAACGCTGGAGAAAATGCACGAGCCTCACATGTTTGAGGTCCTAGAGATAGTCCTTTCTGAGATGGATGGACGACTACAGCAAAGAACGCTCCAGAGATTGTGGTTCCATCAAAACCTTCGGTCAAAACGTTTCGGTCAAAACTTTCGGTGGCCCCAAAAGAGGCCCCAGAAACCCCCAGGAGGCCCCAAAAGGTGCCAGGAAGCCCCAAGAGGACTCAGGAGACCCCAAAAGACCCCAACAGACCCCAAAAGCCACGTTTCGGTCAAAACTTTCGGTCAAAACGTTATTTTCACCCAAACCCTACACAATCTCTATAAACCCTAAACCCTAAACCCTATTCCCCAATCCCTAAAACCGAACCTTTCCGCTGCTTGACCGCGGAGGGGGGCTAGCACAGCACAGTGCTTGATCTGTCCGCAGTCAGCCCTAAACCCTGAACCCCAAACCCCAAACCCCAAGCCCTAAACCCACCCTGAACCCTAAACCCTAAACGCCTCCGAAAGCGGCCATGAGTTCTGGAAGCTCTGGGTTCGAGCTGGCCAACTTGGGAGAGGCGGCAAAGGCCGAGATCTTCCAAGCCATCCGGGAGGTCCGGGTATTTCAGTTTAGGGTTTAGGGTTTAGGGTTTAGGGTTTAGGGTTTAGGGTTTAGGGTTTGTCCCCCTTTTTTGGGGGTCCTTGTAAAGAAGGGTGCTGTAGTACATGTAGGACCCCAAGAAGGCACTAAGGGGACCCGAAATCCACCAAAACCCTATTCTACTTATTCCGGGCCCCATATTAGACCCTAAACCCTAAACCCCAAATTCAGGCCCCTTTATTTGCACAGGTGAGGAAAGAGAACGAGGAGCTCCGCGCCGAAGTTCGCAGCCTCACCTTGCGCCTTCAGGCCCTGGAGGGCCTCCATGGGGTTTAGGGTTTAGGGTTTAGGGTTTAGGGTTTAGGGTTTAGGGTTTAGGGTTTAGGGTTTAGGGTTTAGGGTTTAGGGTTTAGGGTTTAGGGTTTAGGTTTAGGGGTTTAGGGTTTCGGGTTTATGGCTTATAGGGTTTATAGGGTTGATAGGGTTTAAAAGGGTCTATAGTTTTTAGGGTATTAGGGTTTGGGTAGGGTTCAGGGTTCAGGGTTTCGGGTTTCGGGTTTCGGGTTTAGGGTTTAGGGTTTAAGGTTTAGGGTTTAGGGTTTAGGGAGGCGCTGGAGGGCCTGAAGCCGGGCTCGGGCCATGTGGATGTGGATGAGGCCGAACCGATGTTGGCGCCCGAGGAGGAGGTCTCAAGGGGTAAAAGAAGGGACCCCACATCTTTTTAAGGAGGGTTTAGGGTTTAGGGTTCGGGGTGTAGGGTTTATGGTTTAGGGTTTAGGGTTTAGGGTAGCCATGAAAGAGACCCTTGATCTCATTCCCCCATATAACCCCGAATGTCCCTTCAAAATGGGTCCCTTTATACCTGATTAGCCCGCAAATCACCCCCTCAATCTTATTACCCTATATAACCTATATATATACATATGCACATATATATATATATGTATAAGGGACTATATACCTAAGTAGCCCCCAAGTAACCCCTAAGGTCCCTTATAAGGGTCCCTCCTTTAGTCCCTTGAAGGTGCCAGTTCAGGTGGGCGAAAACGCTTGGAACATACTGGCCGTGGTAGGGCTGACGGATGCTGGAAGGCTGGATGTGTCTTTCAGCTTGCTCCTTTTTCTGGGGAACATCATGATGCAGAGCACTTTCATTGGAATTCTTCTCGGGAGCAGCTTTTTAGGCGATCCCTTCGAGTCCAACGTGGCGAGCTCTCGCGACTGGCGCAATCGAATGGCCCACTCCTACCAGTACCTGGACCTGGCGCAGACGAGCCTTGTGACCCGGGTTTGTGCTGAAGATAGCTCCCTCATCCAGGCCTCCTCGCAGGCGAAACTGTTGTCCGACATTAACAAGTACCTGGGCATTCAGAAGACCGCCTTCGAGGCCACCCTGAAACAACCAGGCGTGACACTCTGCATGTTGTGCATGGCGCTCTGGAGCCTCTGTGTCTTCATCGAGCTCCGTGATATCTGGCTTCACCTTCAGGCGATGATGCAGGTGCCCCGAGCCGAGCGCACGCACTTGCACAAGGGAACCTTCAAGAGCCTCTCCTCGAAGCGCCTCAACGTCATCGTCGCGGCGTCGCTACTCCGCGCCCTGCTCGCGCTTGCTTTGCTGGTGGCCGGCCTTCAGTGGCTTGGGGGCACCACCTCCATCGCCGACTTGATCCTGAACGCTGCAGCTAGGAGAGCAGGGCCTTGATTCTGTTGTTGTGGGTTAGGCTCCCTTATGAAAGCCACTTCTTTTTGGTACCAACAGAAGTGGCACCTTTTCTTTAAAGTCTTATGCTTGGCTTAGACTGGGACGCCTTGAAGGCTAGTCCGGGACCTAGGTAGCCTTGAACGGCATCCTGGACATCGATGACTTCGTGTTCCAGGCGGCGGTGCCTACGAAGATCCAGCTGGCACTCCGTGGTCTAGAGCCGATCGCGCTACCCTACTCGAACCTCGGGGACGACATGAGCCCCAAAGAATTGGTCTTGCCTACCCGATATACTACTGTAACGACATTAACCCTATTAAGTTAAGGTAAACAAACCCTTGGAGGGTTCATGTGGTTTCTCAAGCCTTACTGGGTTAGGGAAGCTCAGGGAGCCTTAGGGAGTAGTAGGGAGCATGAAGGAACCTGGGGTTAGATACCACCCTTGAACCCCACCCCCTTCAGAACCCTAAACCCTAAACCCTAAACCCTAAACCCTAAACCCTAAACCCTAAACCCTAAACCCTCTAAAAGGAAGAGGAAGAGTCAAGTGGAGTCCGCCTTCAACTTCTTCGCCTTGTTCCTGATGCTCTTGATTCCCTATACGGTGCTTGTGCTGCCCCTGAGCCATCGAAGCTTTGTCATAGTGGGGTTTGGGGTTTAGGGTTTAGGGTTTAGGGTTTAGGGTTTAGGGTTTAGGGTTTTGTTAAGGGTGCTTAAACTCAATGAGGGATAGAAATTAGATTTTCCATACTGTCCCGACCATGAACTAGGAATGCTCGAAGTCAAGAAGGAGATGTGCTTCGGCATCCAGAACTTCGTCGTGGCTTACAACTCAGATGTAGGCATGACCTATGGACTTATGTCAAGGGGCATGGCGGAGAAGCGGGATCCCACCTTGCCCGAGTTGGCCGTTGAGACCTTCAAGTTTGCACAGGACCGGCCATGGACCAAGAAGGAAGGCAGTGAAGCATTGCCGGCAGACTACATGCAGCTGGGCTTGTATCCCCAGCAGTTCGAGTTTGGTCGCATCCGGAAAATGGCCGAAGAGGCGGACTACTTCCCGGTCTGCTGGGAGAGAGACGTCAACCCAGACGATCCGTCAGATGCCGCTGGCTTGGGCGCCATTGCACGCGGCCGGATGAACGCCGCAGCCTTCGCTGTCAACAGCAAGGCCACCACTTGCAAGGAGCTGAAGTCGTCATGCTTCCTACCGGAGGCACGGATGCTGCGGCTCATGTGCGGCCAGACGTGCGGATGCACGGATCCGATGTCGTCTCCTTTGTACAAAATCCGTGCGGAGGGCTGCGCCGGGACGTGTCTACTTGAGCGGGCAAGTCAGGTTAAGCCAATGCCATGCAAAGACTTTCCGCAGGCCGAAGCAGAAGAGAGCTGGAACCACTTCTGGGACAACTTGCGCGATGTCCTAGCCGCCTATCTCGGGCCGGACCAAACACAATACCATAAGCACGACCTGGAAAAGATCGCGTCCATGAAAGCGGGCGGCTGCCCACAGCTGAAAGCCAATCCGATTGATGACCTCACAGGTGCGAGCTGGTGCGAAGGGTCTTCTGACCTATTCGGGCCCCTCGCCTACCTCTGCCCTGTCTCCTGTGGCTGTCAACGTCTCACCTCGAAGGATACGTTGGCAGAGTCTTGCCCAGACAGCTGCCTTGCCAATTGAAGCCCCCGTCGATGGAAAACTGCAATGACATGTAGCACGCAGTCCAAGGCTGTGCAGGGTAGGAAGTTCAAAGGGCACCATAGAGAGCCATCGGTATCTCGTCTCTCGGAGATAAACGGCGGACCCAAAAGCGTCAATGAAGACAAGAGATATTTATAAAAGATATGGTCGAAAATAGGTCCTCTTCGTCCATTCTGAGGCTGCAGAAATCTCTTTGCATTATTTTCGTTTCTATGGCGGATTCATATTTAATTGATATTTATGGGAATATATATCTCTTATATCATTACGATTTGGATTGGAAATTCTGACTTCTGGAGGATAATATCTATTCTATTCTATTATCAAGCCATGGATTCTTTGGGATATTATTCTATGACATACATGGTGGGAGGAGCTCGCACGTATGCACTATACCCTCTATGATTCGATCTATGCGAACGCGGAACGGGCTGGGATGCGGCCACGGCTTG